GTTAAAAAGGCTAATATTTGGAAAAGACGTAAAACAATGCCTAGCATATAGTAGGTGATTTAGTAATAGTGGTTGAACAAGTAAAATTAATTGTGTCTCAAATTTTAAAGGAATTTTCATTATGCATATAACATAACCACTTTTGTTTGCTTCCTAAATATAACATTTTTGTTTGGCTTTTTTTTTTTTAGCAATCTTTTCCTTTCAAAATAAATGATAAATCCTTATTGAACTTAGAGATTGTGTTCTCTCTTGATTCAAACAGCCCTTCCCAAAAGCAGATACAGAATGCTAAGCAAATGGCACACTTGTGTTTACCATTACGTGAAAAGCGCAAAAAGCTACCAGCCCCTGCCTGTCAGATTCCAGTCATTCACCTATAGAAGGAGTGCTTCAAAGAGCACCCAGGAGAATATGGCTTCTTCACATTTCTGAGATTTTACTGCTAGCCTTTGTTCTGACTATACCAAGATGACTCACTCTTAATAATATAAATGTAGCCACATTTTCATATGAATTTCCAAATTAGCAAAGTCTTAGCACAAAGTACCATTTCAATGTCAGGATATTCTTTCTTCTGAGACGTGACCAAGAAGAAAGTTGGAAAATAATTCTTTCTCTTCTTTGCATAGAAACTATTTAACATTTTAACAAATTGTGTTTGGCAGGAAATAGACATAATAAAAAAGAGATTTTTAAAATATTGGAAATGACGTTTCTCTGCACATCAAAACAGGACTATTTAGCCTGTCTTCTCCCTCCAAAAAAATAGACATAAGTATGATCACAGTGGTTGAATTATGGAGAAAGAAAAATATATTACACAAAAGCCACAGAGCAGAATGGGTGTCCTGGCTACCACTGCTGCTCGCATCCAGTGCTATTCCCAATGAAGAGATCACATGTCTACCTTCATATGCCTCCTTTCACTCAGAATCTGCTGCCTCCGAGCATCCTCACCGTCCCCTTCGCAGTCTATACCTTCTACTTCCAGCCTGGTTACCCATCCTTACTGTTTGGTACCCCAACTACCAACTTGAACATCTGCTATTTTTTTAAAACACCTTATTGCCTAATACAAAACGTTTGACAGATCCAGCAACTTCAAGAAACAAAAGGAAAAAGAGTGCATATCTTTTCTAGCTCAGTAACTTCTGTCTAAAGATTAAGTGAATAACATTTTAAAGAAAATTCTCAATGCAAACAAATCATGTCACCCACAATGTATTTGTCTTTATGCAGAGAAGACTCACACATTTCATTTTTTTATTTCATTTCATTTTTCCAATGGTGTCTCCTTTGCAACATATTTCCATATAAAAGAGATATGGCACATTGCTATATATATACATATATATGTATATATATATAAAAAACTCTAGAGAACAAAATGCCAATATTTTCCCTCTATCTCTGTCTCTCTCTGGGATAGTTTTCTTATTTCCTTTTTTATGTCTGTCTCCAAATACCTCTCCAACTGAAAGATAAGAAATATTCCATTGAAATAAAGTGAGTCCTATGCTCACACACCCTGCCAGAATCCATCCCAGCCCACTTTTGAAAACTTCAATGCAACATTTGGTCAGCAGCTCTCCTCACCCCAGTCCTGCTCTTTGGTACCCCAACTGCCATCATCACCATATACCTTTGCCCTCCTGCTCTTCCAGCCCACTTCCTTTATATGTTTGCATTTAACTTGACTCCATCCTTCATGCTTTTTTCATTATTCTTAGTTCATTCACACCACATAAATTATCACCTTTGTTTTCAGTTCCCCATGTGCCCCATTCACACCAATTCCAAATAAATACTTCTGATTTTCATCCATTTAATCCAAATTAATTCATAGACTTGCTCCCATCCTCCACCACCACCCCTATATTTACCTCCCCTCTCCTCCATCTCTTTCTCTTCCATGCTTTTGTGTGAGGAAAGGTTTGCAGGGCAAGTGCTTCTGTAGGATGCACTGCAACTGCTTCCTGTACTGTGGAACTCAATATTACTGCCAGCCTCCATGAATTAGCGCCCCCAGGATCCACTTCAGCCTCCACAGCTGATGTGCATGAGCACCATCACTACACACCTCGACGGTCAGCCCTTGGGAATAAGGAAAGAAACTATGCTGATATTTTGGAGATACAGGTTGAGTATCCTTCATCTGAAATGCTTAGGACCATTTTGGAATATTTGAAATATCTTGGGGGTACAACCTAACTCTAAACACAAAATTCCCTTGTATTTCATATATACTTTATAACATACTTCCCTTGAAAGTTGCTTTATACATTTTTGGTGTACTTGTATTTGAACTGTAACTCGTCTCATGAGGTCAGCTGTGGAAGTTTCTATAATTTCTCTCAAAAAGTTTCAGATTTAGAAACGTTTTGGATTTGGAGTTTCCATATTAGAGATACTCAGCTTGCACAGAGATACTCAACTCTGGCCAGCTGGCTTATTTCTAGTTGATATAAAACGTTTTCATTCAGCCATCACTATGCAATGTCAACAGCAACAGTAATAATGGAAACAACCCCACTACTATTGCTAATTAGTTCTTACTATTTGTTGAATAATTTGCAAACTCAATCTTCAAAACAATCTATGAAGTAGATATAATCGTCCCCATTTTACAGATGAGGATTCTGAGAATCAGAGAAAATAATTTATACAGATCATAAATGTAGGGAGAAATAGAGCCAGACACAAACCCAAGTTTACCTGAGTTAACCATTCTACAATACAGACTTTTCAGTCATGTGTGGAGCCCCCTTAAGTATATTCTCTATGGGGAGGAGCATTCCCACTTCAAACCACCATAACAAGTGGTTATAGACACTGAGTACCTTAGTAAACAGCACCTTGGTAATCACTCTGAATAGACACTGTTCAAAAATCAAAGCAGCAAATAATGCAACAATCATACTGTTTACCCTTCTGACATCTCTGTCGGAGAAAAGGGAGGGAGAAAAGAAAATGTTCTGATCACCGCCCCCTCCCCTCAGCCCCCCAAAGAACTTCTGCTTCCCCACAGCTCTCCAGCTTCCATAGGAGGCAGGAGGTAGCCTGTCTGCATGTCCATAATCATGAATTCTACAGCCCTCGACATTGTTGCCTCAGCCTGCTTTCCCTGGCTTCCTGTGGGGACAGGAGATGAGTCATGCACTGAGACCTGGGAGCATGGCAGTGTCTTGTCATTACTCAATGACTTTAGGGAGGAATAGAAATAAAAATTACTTTCAGAACAATATCATAGAGGGAAAAGACTTACAATAGTAGGAAGCATTAGTATGGGTGTATGCGGAGTGGAGAAGTTGAGCAAAGATTCTCATAGGAAGCCACAAATGGAACACAGGATTCAAACATTCTATTGGAGACTAGCCCACGAGCAAAACAGATCCACTGTAGAAACTAAGTTCAGTCAAAGGAGTACACGCAGAGGTTGATATGTAAGGAATCAATGTCAGTGCCCATCATCCCCTAGAAGTAACACTGAGGTTCAAAACAGTGATTTCTTCTAGTTACACATTATGTATTCTTACTTCAGCAAAGTTCTTCAGTGTTGTACAAAAACCTTATATAAACCGTTAGAACATCAGCTCAAAGGGGCCACACTGTCTGAGAGATATAAAAGACAAGGTCTAGGGAAATAAAGGAACACACAGTCACTAAGTCAGTCAGTGGCAGAGTCAGAAGTAGAATCTGGGTTGCTCTGATTTTCTCGCCAATGGTCTTTCTAGTGCACAATTCCTTGGAGACACAGTCCACAGATTTCCCTCAAAGCACCAGACACCTCCCCCCTCATATGCTTATCCGCTTCTCACTGAGAGCGCTCATACTCTGCCACTTATACCTTTGGGGATTTGCAGTATGCAAAAGCCATACAAGTAAGACGCCATTAGTGACCCACTTAAAAACCACCAATCACAGTAATTGCTCTTAGTGGCACTCTTGCAGACCAAAGGAGAGATACCACCCAAAGCTTCAAGCTCAACACAGAGAACAAAGATAGTCTTAGTGAAAATACCAATCTTCCTCCTTTCTGCATAAACCCCACTCTTTGAGATGATCCACTGGCCTCCAGAGACCAACATGATTCCTTGGGATCACCTCAGAAGCCGATAGTAACATACACAGACCCTCTCTCCCCGCCAAACATCCTTACCACACACATAGCAATGTAATCACTTTAGCAACTTCTCAGTAACAAGCTCATTAAAAAGCAATTCTGCCATCTCTCCATAAAGCACGCGCCAGAGAACAATGCAAAAGAGGAGATGCCAATTAATTATAGCATGATCACATCTAATGAACTCTGAAACCCTCCTGCTGTTGGGGGCTTTGATGGAAAATCAGGGCTGGGTGGGGGGGAGGGTGAAGAGGGACACTCTGGTTATCTGGTTTAGCTGTGGATGCTAACACCAGTGTTGCTCACACCTGCAGGGCAATACTCATCAAACAATGGCGTGCATCTGGGCAGAGAATGGAAGACTATCACCTACCCACATCCGCGAGTCACAGGCCCAGAGACCCCCTTCCGCCATTTCGATTCTCCACTGGGGTTGGCACTGCCAGCCAGGGGCAAACCCAGGACCTGTGTGTGTGTGGGGGGGTCCCCACCCTGAGGTCCTAGGGGGAGGCCTGATGCGTCTCTCTGCCTCCCCACCCAGGTCCTCCTGCCTCTCTACCCACCCTCGGATGGGCCTCGAAGGTGGCTTCTTAGAACCAACAGGAACCCATCCCACCGCGTGAAGAGCAAAAGGAAAGGACAAAGAAACCACGTGCGGTCAACTTGTACCACTACCTGTGTGAGTCCTCTGGTGGGCCTTTAAGTGGGAACTTTTTGTATAAACTTTCCGGCACCCGTTAAACTGACAGCGGTGCACCCTCTTCTTGTTCTCGGGGCACGTCTCGGGCCCGGCCCCGCCTTGCTCGCTGTCGCTCTGGGCGCTCTTTACTGTCCCCGCTGCCGTCACTGCGGCCGCCGCTGCCACCCCTCCCACCTTGGCCGAGCCCAGCGCAGCCTTCTTGGCCACCAGTTTCAACGTCACCGTGCCGTCCACGGCCGACAGAGTCTGCGAGGTTTTGACCAGATGGCGGCTGAGCTCCGGGGACGACGGGGGCGTTAATGAGGTCACTGCGTTGAGCTGGGCCTGGTTGACGGCTGTGTAGCTGTCTAAAGAAGAGCTGGTTGGCTGGAGGCTGAGGCAGGTCTCGGAGAGCAACTTGTCCCGAGAGAGCAAGATGTCCACGGCGGAGCTCTTCTCGCAGATGGTGGCCTCCACGGGCAGCAGCAGGGGGTCTAGGCGGCGGAAGCTCTCCTCGATGCACGGGGGAGGAGAGGCTCGGAGGAAGCAGTCCAAGTCCTCGCCAAAGGTCTCCGAGATCCGCCTGGGCTCTGTCTGTAGGTAGCGTTCCAATTCAAGGCATGTCTGCAGAGAGGAAGGAAGGAGGGAGAGAAATAACCATCAGAGGCACAGGACACCAGGAAGGGGGCAGGGGTGGGGGGTGGGCGGGGACAGGCCGAAGGGGAAGGAACAGAGAAGGCTTCCGCGCCTGGTATCTCCAATTCTTGGGCTGAAAGGTCTGGCCTTTATTATCGAGGCTCTGAGTATGATGGACGCACTCAGCAAGGTGACTTCCACCTACCACGATCAACGAAGGAAAACTAGAAACGCGAGATAATTATCTCACACCTTCAAGATCCCAGAGAACACCAGATTGGCAAAATCATGATCTCTTATTCTTCAATCCCAATGATCTCTTATTCTTCAATCCTAATTCAGCAGGGAGAATGCTTTGGGCATCAAGTCCTGCCTCGAACAGAGATTCCATGTCAGGAGGGAGTTATTATTCAAAAGATTGCCCATTACTGTACCTGTTAGGCATAAAACAAAACTCCTGTTGCTCACAGTAAAGAATTACAAATATCCCTGTCACATACTATGTGGTAAGGGGCATGGGTCCCATTACTTGATAAAAAAAAAAAAATGAGTTCAAAGATAGTTTCTGAGACCTGCTAAAGATAGGACTTTATATATCCCCATATAAAATTTTCACCTGATAAGGAAATAAAGAAGAACCCAAAAGTTGAATTTCATAGTGTTCATAAATCTTTGTAAGAAGAGAGAAGCACTTTTTATGGTAAAAGTAGATACTTAACTGAGTTCGAATGCTAACGCTCTTCTCACTCAAAAATTCTACCATTCTTGATTCTTGTATAAAACTATGTTGCTAATTTGCACCATCAGCTCAATTTTCTCTGTCTTCTGGGCTTCACAAAGAAACGCTAGTGGCAAATTTTAAACCCTACTAGCTCCAAATTTACTGCCTCAGTAAAGTGTGTATGTTTCCAACCAATGTTCTGATTCTACGCTTTTATTCTGTTAAGAATGTATCTTAATGATATACCTAGCTATGTTCAAGGATTTTATGTTGGTAACATCTCAAAAGGCTGGTTTTTCAATCAGAATACTTCTGGTTAAACTCTGCATTACTGAATACAAAAACCAGATTCTTAACTAGGAATCTGCCTTGGGTCTCACAGCTGATTTTTAATGATCAGAACTAGTAACTAATGAATGATTCCAGTCTTCATTCAACACTGACATCACAAATATTCATTGAACTACCGTGCTTAAGGCAAGTAGGCAAGGTGCAGGGTTTCATTGTATGCGTTAGAAGAAGACAGGATAATAGATTCGCAGAGCTCACGTGCAAAATAAATGACCATAAGGTAAAAGTGGCATGGACTTACAGAGGAATATGATACCAAATGATCAGCACATTATAAAGTGTGCTGGAAAGTCATTACCGGGGAGTGGGGAATGAACTAACTCCTTCTAATATGGAGGTATTCATCAAGAAAATCTTATTGGAAAAGTAAGTTTGGATTTTGTTTTACTTATTGATTAAATTATAGCTCTGGCTCAGTAAACCAATAGTACTCCAATAATACCTTCTTGGGTCTAGAAATTTGCATTATCCTCATATTTTCCTTTTCTGAATTTCAGTCCCCAAATTTCCTTTTTTTTTTTTTTTTGCATCTTATTACAAGAAATGACCATTTACTCCTCTCCAGTACTGGAGCCCTGGGTCTTAGCTCCAGCCAATTCAACTATAGACTATAAAATCCTATTTATGAAACTTCTCATAAGCTTCTCCTGTTCTTTACCTACCAAGCACAATGCCAGGCACTCAACACATATATAATGTCTGTCAAAAATACAATCAACAGAATACTATTGTGTTGGTCATTTTGGTTCCTCAAAATTCATCTTTTGACACTTTATCCTGGTACCCACCCCATCCTCTGTAACTAGCCAAGCCAAGTTTCCAAATACTGAGAAGATACTTGTCAAGTCTCCCAACTTTCATCTTCTGACTGTCTGTCTTCAAATCTGTGATTCTCCAGTGCTTTAAGAATTCACTTTTCTGTGTGTGTGCACCAGTACCTTGCACTTAAATCAAGGACTCATGCTCTCATTCCATTTTCCTCCTCATAGCTGGTGCTCTAACAATTGAATTATATCTCCAGCTGGGCTTTATGCAGGTTAATAGGAGACTGAGTCTCACGGACTTTTCTGCAAGGGCTGGCTTTGAACAATTCTTCATGTTTTAGCTTCTTGAGTAGCTAGGATTATATACATGAGCCACCAGCTTCCAGGAAGAATTTGCTTTTCTATTAGGCTCATTATTTAATAGTTGTTTTCAGTAGAAGAATCCATCGTTACAGGGATAAAGTAAAAAGTGCTGTTTAATTTCCAGGTATCTGGGGGATTTTCTAAATATCTTTCTATTATTCATTTCTAGTTTGATTTCTCTAGGATCAATTAACATACTCTATAAGATATCAATCTTTTTAAAGGTATTGAGGTTTGCAGTCTATCTTGCTGAGGCTGGCAATCTTAGAAAGGACCACTAATAAATGTCTTTGGGAACAGAATCTTAATGCTTCTTCAGCTTTGCCCAAAGAGAAGAACCAGAGATTTGATGTGCGGATATGTTCCAGGGAAAATCAGCTGAATCATGACTTACAGGATGTCCTTGCCTCCCACTAAGAACTAATTCCCACACCCAGTCACCACTGTCTATAGATAGAGTGTTAGTATGTCCTGACCCCTTACATACTTTCCAGCTCAGTGATTTGAAAGCCACTAAGAAATTGATTCTTAGAGGCTCAGATCATTTGATATTCAGAGTTCTGAAGAACAGAAATATTCTAAACACATTCATACACTCTCAGGGGAGGATTACAAAACCATAATCGTCCCAGTATACCCTTGTTTTGCACCCCAGGAGCACATGAGTCATAGTTAGGATCTAAACATGGAGAAACCTCTGGCATCAAATCTGTACTACTTCATAGAGGCTATAACCTGTAATCCTGACACAGGGCCTTCTTGCATTCTTACTCCACCTGAGACTTAGAGTCACATGGGTACCTATTAGGAAATCACTATGGAATTATTTTTGTCTTGAGAAATCCATTTCTTACAATGGCTAATGGTGAAGCTTAAAGAAGAGCTTGTCAACTGGAACCTGGGGTGAGATTTTTCTTTTCCAAGTATGGAGATTGAAATGTTAAGGATGGATACTATTCCCAAGCCAAAGAGAATATATGTCGTCTATGTCGTCTATGTCATCTATGTTGTCTATGTTGTCGTCGTCTTCTTCCTCTTCTTCTTCTTCTTCTTTTTCTTCTTCTTCCTTCTTCTTCGCAAACCCTGGAGCTTGAACTCTGAGCCTGGGCATTGCCCCTGAGCTCTATTGCTCAAGACCAGTGCTCTACCACTTGAGCCATAGCTCTACTTCCAGCTGTTTCTGTCATTAATTGGAGATAGGAGTCTCACAGACTGTCCTGCCTGGGCTGGCTTTGACAGACAATCCTCAGATCTCAGCCTGGTGAGTAGCTAGGATTACAGGCATGAGCCTCCAGCACCCAGCAACATATGACATTTTTAAGTAATCGTGAGAACTTTCTTAGCTGATGTCTGCAATGATTAATTGGAAATTGAGATAACAGTATTTACTTATAGAATTTAATACATGCATACACTTATTTCGTAACTCCATCCACTGAAAGAGGCTACAAGCAAAACTGCCTTGTAACAATGGGCACAAACACAAAGATCTTGGTTTCTAAGTGCCATTATCCAGTAAGGGGAGGCAGAAGTCCTTGAAAAAAAAAACACCTTTTCAAGAATTGGGGACAGCCAGCAATGAGGGCAGATGCCTGTGATCCCAGCTACTGAGGAGGTAGATATAGGAGGCTCATAGTTTAAAGAAAACATGAAACTTTATACTTAAAAACAAGGCGGGCATAGTGGTCACTTCTATAATCTAAGCTATGTTGTAGACACAGGTCGGAAAATCATGGTGCAAGGCTAGCCCAAGGAAAAAAGCACAAGACCGTATCTGAAAAATAATCTAAAGCAAAAAAGGCTGGAGGTGTGGCCTGCCTCAAGTGGTAGAACACTTAGCCCAAGGTTATGTGTTTGAAGCCCTAGAATGACCCCCACACACACATACACACCACATACACATACAATGGCAAAAAAAAAAAAAACAAACCCTATAGATAATCCTAGAAGTGTTTATATAAAGAGAGGGCTATGGATAAAAGACCCGGGTGCCAACTTAAAGAAGCTTTCAATCACAAAATCTGAACAACAAAAATGAATCATGGTATTAATGGACCAGAACCTACAGAACAAAAGAAAATCCAGACTGATATAAATAAATAATTGAATAAAGAGGTGGAAAGGATCAGTTCAGTAAAATTACAATTAATAAACAAATAAGAATCATCAAGGGACACCAAAATCACTGTCAGAACACATAAGAAACAAGATACATGCCTATTCTCAAAGTATCCTGTCATCAAGATATTAATTGCAAAGACAAAAATAGCAACTTTTGCAGTGGAGCAGCTCCTATAACAACCCACCTGATCAAAATGAACAGTACAGTAATAAGTCATTGATAACATGGACCTCTGCTATGATGGTGCCCAAAGGCACTGAGGACATTGCAACGTTCTTCTATGATTATTCCTGCCAAGGACCACAGACACAATCTAATTGAGGGAAAACATCTGACGAATCCCCTGAAAATATGAAATAATCAGTCACTTTTCTTTTCCAGTATGGAGATCATAAAGAGTAAAGCAAATCTGAGAAGCCATCATGGGTTAGAAGAGACAATGTGCTATGACAAATAAAGAAAATGGACCTTGGTCTGGATCCTGGACCAGTGAAAGCACACAGGTTGGAAAAGAATGTATAATTCAAATAGCAGGGATAGATTTATTTAATGAGTCTGTATCAGCAGTATTGGTAGTAACTTCCGGTTGATAGCAATTATACTATGGGTAAGTGGTCAGGGGGTACTGACTGATCATCATCATACGAAGAATAACTCCAGATTCAAA